CAATACATTTTAGTGTGAAGGATTTAGATCGTAAAATTGATTAAGAAACCCACGCGAACGAAGTTTCATCGAAAGCTAGTAAAGTTATCTACTATAATTGGAATATGTATAAGTATTATAGTACGTCATATCATATCACATTTCTTATTTGGACGAACTTACGATCTTTTTTCTGATAAGTAGCAGGTAGAGTTTTCTTATTAAGTACACACTGCCAAGAAAGTAGAATTCTCCACCGGATTTTATACTATATTCCAGTGGTTATAAAAATCAAAACTCTTTCTGGAGAGGATGAATAGACATCTTACGGGCTGCGTAGAGATCAATAGGAAAATCATTATTAAAAAAAAAAAAAAACTTTAAATAAACAGGTGCTACGCTAATTGTTTATTTGAGGTCACAGTTGAAACAAACAGTGACAACGTTGAGAAGCGACCCACATCCGTATTATGCAATGCAAACACGGACTCGGAAATGCGTTCGGTGCGCTTGAACTGTGTTACTCGGTTCACGATATGTGGATCTTTGGAAAGTTATAAAACGTACAGTTTCATAAAATGTTTAAGCGGATATAGTGGTAGCGTATGTCAGGGTATTTTAATACAATGTTCAGATACAAACTCGATTTTTTTTAACGAAGAGTTTATCTACAGTTGTTTTCAATTATACGAAAGCGATTTTAAGCAAAATATTTAAAGAAACCAATATTTATGTAATTTCTTTTCTCTTGTAATAGTTTTGATGTTAAATTGCCCATAATAATGAGAGTTGTTTCTGACCTCAAATAATTTCTCATAAAAGTTGTCTTACCAATGAAACATGATACCGCACCAATATGACACACATTGTGAAACGCGTAGTATTATTATGCGGATGAGGAAAGTTGTAACCACAAGTTTGTTAAACTCGCTTATGTAATTATATGAGTCGCTGGTTATTGCCAGAATGCATCTGGATTTATTGCACTGGGTTACGTGGTTACTGGAAATTTCGTTGAAATTTTATATAGTGTGGTTTTGTTACGGTAATCATTCAAATAATAACCAAGTGATTTATATCTTAAAATGTTACTCATAACTTATTGTAATATAGCATAAATATAATTATATTTGATAAAGCAATATTTGTCTATTTCCCTAAATGAATAAATAAATACGAAATATACGTTATAGAAATTAAGTTTATGTGGTCACTTCACTAAAATCGCCTAAAATCTTTTAAGACAACAGTTTTGAGCTTTATAGACTTCATCCTGACAGTGTTCCGTAGGTCCAGATATAAATCTAAACATCCAAGGACTCTCAAACAATGCTCTTGAGCCGTTTAGTTCAGCGACAAACTATTATCAAGTGTTTACGATATAAAGTGTTTATAGATGTAGTAGATGTTGTGTTGTATATAAAGCCTTCTAAATTGACCTCTGACAAACATTAACATAACTTAATTGTATATTTTACAAGTTAATCATAACATGACAAGATGACTGCAAATTAGATCCTTTTAATGACAAAATATTAATGTTCTTGACTATTTTTTATGGGAGTTAATGGCAATTCATCTATTGTACTTATGAAGAATTTTATAATTGTCAATGTACGAATCAGATTTTACCACTTGTAATAATTCAAATGCGCTTTTAGAAACCAAATGTAAGTAAACTTGCCTGGTCAGTTCAGCTGAATTAATTAACTACACTGAAATTGCTAGCTCCAAGTAAAATATTATCAAGTTACGCAACTTTTAGGCATTAATTTCTGTATAAATTATAGTGTAATTAGTGGTTATTCAGAATAAGTTAAATTGTGTCAAACAAATCTCAAATAATCTTTTTTATAATAAAAACTATTTGTTATTCTGGACACGATGTTTTCTTTGGTAAGTGCCATTTGTTTGTCGCTTAGTGTGGGACCTATTCTCAACCACATAATTTTGAATGACAGGTATACATAATACACATATTTAACTTTTTATTTTTAATAATAACAACACATTGCTCTTTTATTTAGAAAAGGAATTATTATATTAGTTTTATATAACAGTTACATTTTATAAACTATCAGCTTTCCGTCAGTGGCTTCGCGGTTCTGTATTATACATATAAACCACTCTGTATATTGACGAAAACTGTGTTTAAATCCATTATGTAGTTCAAAAGGTTTGAGTATACTGACAGAGAAATACTTTGTTTTATATACTATGTATGGTCAAGTATTGTGACAGATTAACTTATGAAAATGGCGCGAAAAGTTTTTCAATAACATCTGCTTTGTTATATCAGTCGTTAAAAGAAACCTATTTTAATAGATGCTCATGTTCCTAATAACATAAGCATTTAAAACACAACTTATTAATGTACTTACCAGTTGTCAGTAATGTTGTTATTCCAATTAAAATAAACCACCTCGTTCTAGTTATCATATTTAGAGTCGTTTGCGGCTAATAAATAGGTAAATCCAATGACTAGTATTGTTAAAACATCACAATAATACAAGAGTCAAAATTTATACGAATTAAAAGAAATATTTCGAAATCAGAATAGATCGACATAAAAAATCACATATTACTTTTCTTATTAAAACAAAAAAGGTTTTGTTTTTTTCTTAAGGCAATGATTTTTTTTATAAGAACTAAAGATGCGTGTGTAACTCGTGTATACCGCGATAGAACTGGCACGGTGACGGCGAAAGTTGGCTGCGTATATTTGACCCTCGTCGCATCGCTTCCCTCTGGCTATGCCGGCAATATTCATCCTGAGATCATAAAACCTTTAGAATAAGACTTTAGGGAGATACATTCTTGTAATTAACAGTCAGTTAATTTTTAAACAATATACTAAATATACATCAATATACTAAATATACAAATGTTACTGGGCAATCAACTTCATGATCCAATTATTATTTAAAAAAATGTAGATTTTTATGCACTTTTGTATAAACTTAAAAAAACAACTTAATAAAGTTAAGAAGAGAAGAGGTATTTCCAAAAACACGGGCAAAACTCTTTGTGTAGGTGGTACCTTACCTTAGCTAAAATATGACAAAAATTTTCTCATGTGCCAAACTTAACATTAAATAATACGTGACAACATTTTTGTGACAGTAAATAATTTATTATATATTTAATAAATAATTTTAATATGTATTTTATACACTTAAAATAAATTGAGCCAACAGAATTGTGACCAAATTCTGTCAGCACATATTAGATCCATTTTAAGTTGATTTTTTTATATAAATGCCTTATTTAATGTTAGTTGATATAATGTATATGTGAGCCTAATTTGATTGCTTTTATTCTCTTGTTCATGTTGTATTTAAAATGTTAAAAAATATAATGTGTTTTTAATATCTTAATTATAAATTACATGTAACGAAATCTAATCCGAAACATAACGTACTGACGTCACTCCTGTTATGATAACTATGAGATAATTTTTCCAGCTGTAAAAAAAACAAGTTGGGACAATCACGACACACCTTTCACGATCAAATCAATCGCATGCTGTTAGGTGACGTCAGAAGCCATAAAAACCGGCTATTATGAATAAATAGACTAATGAAAGTGAATGAGGCGAAAGATATATGTAAGGATCGTACTTTGCGACGTTCCTCTTTGCATACCCCGCAAAGGATACGTTTGAAGATACATATATACGTACAGAATTATTTTTCGACGAATCATTATGATTAACTGCTGTATATTTTAATTTTAATTAAAGTAAATCCAATAAGCGATAGCTCGTCACCCACACTGCACACTTGAAGATATATAATATCCGTCTATGTATATTAATAACACTATGAATGTTAGAATTATAGTTTTATCGCGGAATTGCTATCATTACAAAAACAATGTATACATTGTTTTTGTCGAATTTCCGATACAAGTCAAAATTTTGATAACGTTAGGTGTTTTATATAACTTGCTCTAAAATATTAAAATAATCGCTGTCCAGAAAATTAAATCTTATATATATAAAAAATTTATGTCACGATGTATGTTGCCAATAAACTTCAAAACTACTGAACCGATTTCTATCAAATTTCACATGTAGCTGTATTTTGGTCTAACTTACTGGATAGGATAGTCATCATCTCCATTATTCGCTTATGTCTTGAATGTAAACGAATAAAATGTTCTAATTAATTGTTTCTTAAGCAAGTGTTTATTTACTGTTTAGTTTTATGACGTTCTTATAGTTGGCGGTGTACGTTGATTCATAGATAAAATTCTTCAATATCGTTTGACATCTAGGTTGCAAATACACCCAATAGATGGCGCTGTGTTCTAGATGGCGTTTATTTTAAAGTAATCTGCGGTAACGCTTCTTACAAAGAATTTTGCGTAGATTACGTTTTCGATTAAGTTTTGTGTAAACTTCAGAACTTTTTTTTTCATCTTTATTTCAAACTGCATTGAATTGGATTAATATCTCTAAATATTGGACATTCGTTGGTATTTTGTTGTACTATCTTCGAACTTAAACATCAAGGTAATTTCATCATCAGCTCAAAAAACAACAGCGTTTTTGGAAAATATGATGCCCAAAGAAACTATCACGCGGACGAAGTCGCGGGCAAAAGCTAGTAGATTTATATTTTATTATATAATAATATATTATTAGTTTTTTTGATCGCATAAACTGGGAGCAGGGCTGGAAGGTAATGATAACTTAGTTGTTGACACTTTACATATCTTTTTTCACCTTTGTAAACTACTTCATCAGTCTTTATTTCATGATTAATCCATGAACTATTAGAAAACATAACAATACATTTGAGAAATGATTGTTACGAAATAAATCTCTATTTATTTCGTATTAAAGCACAGTTTTCTGCAAAATATCACGAAGCTATCTTCCTTGACACACACGAAACTATCTTCCTTGACATGGTATAGGTTTCACAATAAAATTTTATAGCGGATGATAGAAAGGATATTGAGAAATATGCACGACTGGTCAAACAACGTAGACGTTCAATTCCTATCAAGCATTTAATTAAGTGATATTTGACATTTTCCTATTGCTTTGTCATTGAATTGTATTCATGTGTGTATACCTATTGTTATGTGGACACTTTATTACATTTGATGAATTTTGCATTCACAATGATATACCGAATAATATACTTAATGAAAAATTGCTTAAAAAACCACTTTGTCCCTGGCACTCTGAAATGGGACTCGAACTCAATCGCAATTCAGGATACTACTCTAACCGCTCAGCTACTCGGGACCTAACAGGACTGACGAATTTTTTCAAGCACTGGTTACTTTTTGATTACTACAGAGCGTATTTTCATCAAGGTTCAGGAAATTAATCCACAGTCGAAAGAAAACTTTCGATAAAACTTTTCAATAAGAATAGTTTTTAGTATAGCATTGTGAATGCAAATATAATATCATTATCAGCCGTAAGACGCCCACTGCTGAGCATAGGCCTCCCTCATAGATTTCCACGACGATCGGTCCTGCGCAGCCCGCATCCAGCGGCTTCCCGAAACCTTTATAAGATCGTCGGTTCACCTGGTGGGGGGCAAATATAATAATTAGAACAAATTTTTAAGGATTTTTTTTTTTAAATAAAAAAACGTTTACTCTAACTGTTATTTATTTATGTAAAATATAATATTATTCACAGTAACGTTACCAAATCCTGTTTAAATCATTTATCATGTCTTGTTCTTCGGGTGCTTGTAAGTAATCATATGTAAAACCACTTCTTGCTGCGTCTCCTTTTCCTCGACAGTACGGATTTTCTGAATTTGTATTAAAAAAGTATACGCCTGACGCACTGAAAAACAAATGTCTCGATATTATTTCTCAATGTTAATATCTGTTTCAGAACAATTATTTTTCAATTCTGTCAATTATAGTAAAATTAAACAATTAATTTAAGTAAAGGTGTTTAAGTACAGTCAACAGCACGTAAGGTTATACAAAACTGTCAAGATTCTTCACATGATTTTAAACCTTAATATGTTGAGGATAGTGTTCAAAATCAATTGCAGGAATTCACATATAATGCTCTGACGTACAGCCGCGTATACACAGATTGACATCTGTCCTCTGGACACCTGAGTGAATTCGAATTCGGGTTTGGTTTTTACAGAATGAAAGCTGATCAAATACAGCGTAGAATATAGCGCTGTTATACACAATATTAGTATCAATCACATAATAGCTTGGTATGCAGTCGTTAAAACCCTCCAATTACTAGAAATATATTTGGGCCAGTGTGGAGGGCCCATCCTCCTTAACCATCCATAAGGAAGGCCTGAGCTCCTCAAGTGGGGACGTAAAAGGGCTGATGATGATGACATAATAGTTTTATTACATCATTATTACCATAGGGAAGGCCTGAGCCCCAGTACTCGGGACATTAAAGGCTGGTGATGATGATAGTGAAGTAGATTTCATTTAACTGAACGTCTACGAGCTCTGTGTTCGACAGTGTATTTTAATACAATAGTACCGCTGAAATTTTGGTATTGACTTAAATTCTAAAAATTATCGTATTTTGTGCAAAATTTATTCTAAATATATTTCTAGTAAAGTAAATTAATTTTAAAAAATTATGATTTTATTGCGTGTTTTAATGTAATTTTGCTCTGTGTTTAGCTCGTCTTGGTAAGCCATTACCATGGCTCTAAATAATAGGCACTGAATGAAAAAGTAAGATTGAATGCAAAAGGGAAATGAAAGGTAGGCGAAAGTGGAAGTGTTCCGTTGCCTGCGCTCTGACGAAGTATGATGAGAAAGCAAGGAATGATCTAGAAAAGTGTCTGGACAAAAAAAAAGGTAAAATGGGAATCTTGCATCGACATCGATTTTATCTGCAAGTGTTACGTATCTAAACAACATTACGGTTGTTATCATCATCGAAAAAGAAATATATCATTTATCTATCCATTATCGTCAGCCTGTTAATTTTTTATGTGAAGACTGAATATATATTTTAGTTTTTATACGATGTACTTGCGATAATTATTATGAAAAAATATATACTGGTTTTTACGCCAGTAAATGTGACGTGAAAATGTGATATATTTTCATCAAAAATTGACATACCCCGTATAGTTAACATTTTATGTCAATTTTGGTTAGGTGTAAAAACTAAACTGGTTTTTTAAAACGTAAATCTAAACAAACTTTGAAATTATACAAATTAGATATGATCTAATTGTTACATTTGATCAATTTTGTATTCAGAATGCTATACTGAAAAGTATTCTTGATGAAAACTGTTTAAAAAATCCACTTTGTCCCTGACATTCTGAGATGGGACTCGAATCCATGACCTTTTGCAATCTGAGTGACTGTTCTAACCACTGAGCTACAAAGGACCTAACTAGACTGACGAATTTTTCAAGCACTTGCTACTTTTTCGCTACTACAGGGCGTATGTTCATCAATGTTCAGGCAACCCACCCAAACAACCGAAAGAAATATTTTTACAAATATTTCAACTTTTGATATACTCGTACTTGAAAATTTTAATTTTATCAATTTTGCATTTACAATGCTATAATAAAAAAAAACAGTGAAAAATGCTTAGAAAATCTACTTTCCCATCATAGAGTGAATTTTTTTGGAGCGTATAAATTTTTTTTGGCGAATTTCCACAAGTCGTATATACAGATCGATAAAGAAAAAAATCTGAAGAAAATGGTACATATATATATATATATATATATATATAGATATATATATGTATGATTCAATTTCGCCAAAATGGTTTATACGCCATTTTAAACCCAAAGGTATCATATGTAGCCTTTTCTTTTACATAATTAAAATGCACAAACTTTTTCGTATGGTTTAGTATCTATACAAATAAGTAAAAGTGTCTGTTTGTGATATTAAAATAACCACTTTTCACTAAATGCATGTTTGTATATACACGGTACATAAACAAAATTAATATATATTTTTTTCTGTTTTGACGGGACTCACTGTCTGATAGCTTATATAGTAAGGAGTAACTTAGGCTTTTAACTTATTTTCTACGCGGACGAAGTCGCGGGCACAGCTAGTCATTAACAGTTACGATGAAAAAGCTTTAAAATTTAAAATTGATGATGTGTTTTTAATAATATTTTCATAGTTTAACTAAGATATTTCATAATAATTACAATACTGAGAAAATTTTAATCCTTTTATTTTTTTTTTAGTGTGGTAGGTTCTGCAGGTGTATGTAATAAAAATCCATGTGAGTACTACTACTTACATGGAGTTTTATTTTCCCTATATTGAGTTTTGGATTGTTAATATAAGAGAGGTCATAGTCAAAATAATCTTTCAATTAAATTTATTAAAAGTATTTTGAATAGGGATGACGACTAAATTTTGTTTGTTTGTCCTTCAGGTAGATTACTGAAGAGTATTAAATACTTTTTTTGCGTAATCAATAAATTACGGCGATACATTGAGTTGAAATGTTGCATGACATCACGCTTTGTGTACATTTTTTACAAAACTGACGTATCGAGCTTCCACTCCTCAACGTTAATGCCTATTATCTAAGCTATTTCTTATTTAAATTGAAGCAAAAAATTTAAATAAGAAATAGCTTAGATAATAGGCATTATAGCCCACGTTCGTTGTTGTTAAGCGATTTCCGCAAAGGTCAGTCATGGGATGAGTGCCAAAAAAATATTGCGTGCTTCGGAAGGCACGTTAAGCCTTTGGTACCGTCTGCATTCTCAGTTGTTAATACCCTCCGATTTGCATTGGCCCAGCGTGGAGGTTCATAGCCCATCCATCCATCTTTAACCATAACGGAGGCCTGAGCCCCTGCAGTGGTGACGTAAAAGTTGATGATGAGGATAATAATAAGTATAAGAAAAATCACCCATCAAAATAGTAGGAACAGCTCAAGACCAAGCATGCAACCAAAATTCATCTGCTATATAATCAGCATCTTTTAATAGTTGATTTAAATTTAATTGTTATTATTTTACTTGGGACAGCTCAATTTAAAGTTCCTTACTTACTTATGAGGTACATGTTCACCAAACAGAATTATGTCATCATTAGAGTTGATGGCCGAGCAGAATCTTAAGAAGACGAAGAACAGACAGGAGTACTTTCTTGCGTAGCATCCTCTTTCACTGGTGATTGATTCTGCGTAATAGACAGGAGCCCGCCCGTGATCACACTCCGATTTAGCTGTAAAATATAAACAAAAGTGGGTTTATTTGTAAACAACCCTTAAAATAAATGAATATTAACTTTTATTGAAATCGCTGATTAATATTGTTATACAACATCAATAATACACTTTCTTTATTAATAGATTTAAGGTTTAGTTTTTTCCAAACTTTTTGCCATATATTTTAGGATAAAAATGTGGTAAAAAATAAAGAATTAAGGGGAAATTTAATTGATATCATTATATTTATAATCTTCATTATATTCTGCACTAGCTAAGGAAACTGTGACATGTCCAAAAATCTCCGGGAATGGTGTAAACGATTTAAGTGTAATAAATTAAGCTAGAGATATGTCTTATAAGCTTACATTGATCAGTGGTGGCATTACAACCAGGTTGTGTCATACCGCCGTTTGCGTAAAAGTCTACATGTCCACTAGGTTCCAACTTCCCTTTCCACATCGCATTCGTATGCAGGACATCGACAAATAAAGCATCACTTTGATCGACTTTTTTAGTGATGTCGCGCGTTATGAACAGTGGCATCGCTGGATCTAGCGCTGAAAGTGTAAAAAATAGTTTATAAGTTGTTTTTATTAAATTGGTTTCTTTATTGTTAATTTTTGCTTAAAGAGAATCTGTTATTAGCAATCTGTAGGTTTTTTAAATCTTAAAAATTATTGTCTACTCATAAATATTCAGATTACTGGTACTAATTGTTTTATTTTACAGTTAGGATGATTATTCTCAATAAATAAAAAAGTTATAAGTCTTAACTACTTTCATTTTGCCATTGTACTGTATAACCGAACTCCAATATTATTGGTGCAATGTTTTCCTCACAAATCAATGGTGATTGGTGACAGATATATTTATTATTTTGTGAGCCATAATGACATTAACAGTAGCAGAATTGCCCCATTCTGTCTCAGCTTACGTTGTTACGATATAGGTTGCAACAACACTGATATTCTGTTGGTTATTAGTAAGTAAGTAAGATTTTTATTGCCCTTTAAATTTATAATTTTTATAAGGTGTAAGCATAGGGAAAAACAACAAATGAAAGTGAAGACCTGTTTAAGAAAGTACTTATATATATGTGATGGGCTCAATCTACATCCTACTTATTGAATAATTTAAGTTATTTTCTACGTCTGTTTTGATTATTCATTTTAAAACTCGTTTTTACTCTTTTAAAGCATTCTTAATATAGATTACTCATTAACGCAGTGCCTGCTTGAGTGACATAAAAGAAAACAAAAAAGCTTTGAAATTTTCCTTTTTATTATTTTCGTAACCGAGTGGCATATAAGTCAATTTGATGTCGTCATTTCTGAAGATTTCGATTCTCGTTGTGGTTAATATTGTTTTTTTTTTTCTATATTACCTTGTTTTAGATTTCCATAATACAATGGCTTTAGCTACTTAGTTTGGGATCTGATGTTGTCTTATATTTATATGTATAAGGATATATAGGGGTGTTTTATTTGACTATAAGTTTATCTTTGATCGTACTAACCTGTAATTCTTTTCAGTTGCCCTGACTTTATATAGTTTCCTATATAACCAGCTACCTGCCCTCCAAGGCTGAATCCGATGGGATGAAATTGATCCAAAGTAAAATTGAAATCATCGATTAGAACATCGATAAGTTGCGCCGTGCACATCCCTACGAGTTCAGTGTTTCTAGCCGCTTCCATGTAACAAGGCTTTTCAGCAATGGGACCGTAGTCGACGCTTATGATATTGTAATCGCAACATTCCATGTAAGCTAGAACAAAATTATGTAATTAATTCGTGTAAAAGTAATTTTTACGCAATCACAGCAAGTTCTGAACTTCGACCTGTAGTAACCTCACGTTGCAGCACCTTTTCTCGAATTATTCCGTTTTGTTGTCTCCTGCCCCGTATAACAAAATGCTCATCCACTGCCTCAGCACGCATGCACCGTCTGCACGGCACGCAACGCATTGCACGGATTTGTTGATTGCAATCGCATTTTTCATAGAAGCTGCCATGAAGAATACAACTGTTAGTTTTGACACTGGAATTATGCTGATGACGTTATAGGAATTTTTAATATAATATGTTGCTTGTCGTGTGGCCGGTGCGTGCGTGCTGACACATGGACTCCTACCTTTAAGCTGAAACGATACAGAGTTGTATGGTACCGATTTGTATCATTTAAATGTAATCCAGACGGTCGACAACCAGCGTTACAAGATTGGTAGCCTTGTTGATGCCAATTCTCTGGATGACTGTTACAAGCCAATTCTGAGATAACTTATGACGCTCTTGGTCCGCGGCTGCATGTTTTTAAAAGGTAATCTTCGTCGAAACGTTTGTTGGCAACCATGTTAATACGTCTTTTTTACTTAAAAAATTAAGTTTATGGGAGATTGGGTATAGTTGAGGCAACGTTTATAATTTGTAAAATATTAGCACTGTCTGTTAAAAGGTGCCGAAGGTATAGACATGAATTGAACTCTTGCTTTAGAAGGTAAATTAAATCATTAAAGCCGACCAATCTTTAATTGTTATCATCAACTAATTCATCTTGAGTGCATTTGTTAGGTTAGGGTTTTTATTAGTGTCTTTTGTAGGAGATTATTATGAGCGAACGTTTTCAAATAGAATGACAGATAACACAATTCTATTATGTAATTGACTATTTTTTTACCGGGCCTTATTTCAGTGTTGGGTGAGAAGTCCTTGTAGCCGGTGTACCCATGGATTAGTATTTTAACTGGTTCTCCGACTACCCACGGTGCCAACTTTATAGAATCTGAATCTTGTGCATATATCTGATGGGGATTATCCTTATTAGCCCTGAAATACATTTATTATTAAATATTTAACTAAATTAGAAATAATGTAACAATAATTCCATAGTCCACAATATACACATTATTCTTACCTAGTATATAGCCAAAAGGTTATATTTTTGTTAGGACATTCCATAGGTGGTGCTACACATTTTTCCATACCAAATGCTGCCATGATTACAACTGAAAGTATTGAACGTTAAATAAGCATCAGGGGCTTATTCTTAAATGTTATGTATATCAAGATCTTGATAGTAGTCCTGCTGTAAGATTTTCAATATACATAAGTTAGAACTTGATTTATGCGGTTAAAGTCAAAGTCAATGAAATCAACCTCGAAAGCGACATTGAACGCAGTGCTGTGACAGCATAGAGCTTCAATGTTATTTCATAATTATATCAATATGTTTAGAAATTTTATCACAGTGCTATGCTCAAAAAGGACTAAGGCTAACATGGGCGTGGAAGTTGTGCACAGAATTAAAGGTTTATAGGACTCTAGTGCATCCAGCCTTACTATACGGCACCGAGTCCTGGACGACCATAAGAGTATATGAGCAGAAGTCCATGTCACCGAGATGAAGATGTTGAGATGATTAGGAGATCTAGCTCGACTGCCAAGAATCCGAAATGAACACATTCGCGGAAGCTATAAAGTCTCACCGATTACGGACAAAGTCGTCGGAGGTCATCTTAGATGGTATGTGGTATATGTATATAGAAGCACAGCTAAGACCACTTAGCAAAACTTGCCTCCAAACCTGCCGAAGAGGCAGAGGTTGACCGACATCGATCTGGTTAACACGTTAAACGCCAAGGCCAAAATACGATTTTTACATTTTTTTTTTTTTGCTGTTCTAAGATACAGTATCTCAAGATTGGTATTTATGTCTTGGTTAGGTTTGGATCTGAGACCTACTTTCAGAGATATTCCTGAAAAACATGGTGAGGTCACGGGTGGCCGTAGTGGCGCTGTAATGTAAAAATTGTCAATGTTGTTATTACGGCGCCATGAGGTCACGTTCTCCGGACACCCGCGCCTATTTTTGGGAAAATAAATAACTGATTTTCACAATAAAGTAATTTTTTATTGATGTCAAAAGTAAAAATGTGTTATTATATCTCTTTATTATAAACTTTTATTTCAAGTAACGCAGTAGTATCAGAATAAACACATTTAATTTATTTCATACATACTAGCGACTCGCCCCGGCTTCGCACGTCCTAACGTTTGCAATATAAACCTTCCTCTTGAATCACTCTATCCATTAAAAAAAACCGCATCAAAATCCGTTAAGTAGTTTTAAAGATATAAGCATATATACATACATAGTGACAGACGCGAAAAGCGACTTTACTTTATACTATGTAGTGATTACGCATAAAAAATATTTTTGACTAACATAACCATGTTAGGCGAAAACCACTTAGGCAAAATAATCTACAGCGCCATACCGGTCACCTCACTGCGTCAAATCCATCGTAAACGCGACCTACGGCTCCTAAACTCTGTTTGAAAATAGGTCTGCTCTGAGGTCACCGGTGGCCAACACGGCGCCTAGATTAAGGTAGGGTGCGGTCACCGGTGACCAACATGGCGTTTAACGTGTTAACAAATTTCAAGTGAGACCCCAGGAAAGCCGAACTCTCATGCAACCCAGGATAGGCCTGGCGCAGACTAGTGAGGGGAGCCAACCTCAAATAACAAGATCAGGGTTGGACAAAGTAGAAGTTTAGAAATTTTGCTGACCAAAAAGCATGTTAATAATACTTCTATAAACATATGAACTTTCCTTTGAAATCGTTCTGTATATTTATGCAAACTGTATTAAAATTCGTGCTGTAAGGTAAAACATCTCAATATAAAGGCCGCGTACAGACATTAAGAAAAGACTTTGTTTCCTACAATGTATAGAACTATGTTTTCTAAATATCAGTATCAATTTCAAAATTTAAAATATCCAATATTTAAAAACTACTCCGTACAATTATCTAAAGTTATGGTTTTATTAATAGGGTTGTAATTTTCAATTTGGCACGAAAGAAAGATTTTAAAGATATTCCTATTATACAATTGGTGTTTCTTTATTAACACCAAAACAAATTTATAAAAGTGACGAATGTTAATTAATAAAATATGTATTGATTTGTTTTAAGAGATTTTTTAAAAATGAAATTTTTATGAAATTCTGCGCGCCAGGCGTATGAAATCAGTCCGTCAATGCTGTACAACAGAAATACATACAGGTGATTGCTTTTATTTCCGTGATATATTTTGAACACCATGATGTTTGTAATAATAGCAATAAATGAGTGATTTATTGAATGACTTTTTGATAAAGTCAGCGGAATTTTGCTGATAACCATTTTAAAGCTGAACGTCCACTGTGTCCGCATGCACGCTACGGCTTCACGTAACTCAACAGACTGTACGGATTTTCCGATGTCATACATTCATTTTAGCCGGCTTATAAATAGGACACTTTTGAATAGACCAAAACAATATTTTTTTTATATTAAATATGTCCGTTAAGAAATTTAATGTAGATAGAAAAAAGAAAATTATAAGTGGACTTTATAAAGTTCTCTATATAAACTGGCATTTAATAAAAATTCAAGTCTCTTTTTTCACATTAATAGGACTGTTAATTTCATCTAGTTACAAAGTCTTAAGGGGTAAAAACCAAAAAAAAGAAAAGCAAAGTCTTTTTTAATATAAAACCTACAATACCTTTCTAAATAAGCAATGTTACAAACTAGTTAAAAATATTTTTGAGTAAGAAGTTTGATTCAGTTATTTTTTATGTTGTGATAATTAAATTTAATTTATTGGCCTTTCTAAGTGCGATAAAACATAAAAAGTAACATTATAGAACGGAGTTGCCGTATTATATATATATTTTTTTTATTAATATCTACAAAGAAAATACTTACAAAATTCATAAGTCCCAATTACCCCGGGACCAGGTACGTAATATGTGATCACCGGGAAAAATAATTTATCAATTTAGCATTGTGAATGAAAAATTTATGAAATACCTATATATATTTTTTTATTTGATAAATAGGCCTCCAATTTTACCTTTGACGTTACCGTATCTAAACAGTAATTAGTACTTTTTTGTCAAGTTGGTATCTAAGACTGCTATTGATAAGCTAAACGTTTTTGTTGACGGTTATCCATGTAAATGTAGTTTAGTTTGCATAAATTTTCAATAGATACCACAATATGCCAATTTTCTATAATTAATATTGAACTTCACCCTTAATACATTATGATTTAAAATCTCGTGAAGAATTTGATAGTTTCGTATGGCATGGCGTGCTGTTTACTGTATGTATATTTCTTTAATTTAAATGTTACTGCTATATAATAAATATAATTCATAACCTTCAATTATATTCACTTTTCAAGTATTTACAAATACGCTACATTCGTCGAGATAAGTTAGATATTTGGTTTATCATTCATAAGTTTGAAATAAAAAAAAAACAACAATTCTTTTCACGAATGTATTTTCTAACGCTAAATAAAATAAAAGTAAAGCTCTAAGTAATCTTACGTTGAAAAAACTCTAGTCTTTGACATTTATTTTAGCAGCTTCATGTAATATAGACAAGCACCAGCTTGTCTATATTAACGCGAATTTACCTGTATAAATACGATATAAATAATTATAAATAATAATAAATATGCCTATGTACGATCTATCGACCTACTTTTTATTTATATAAAATCAGGTTTTTTATTTCACCAAGCTAAATAATAATGCAGCTTCCCTGCACTTTTATAATTGGTCCAGTAGTATCCCAATCAAATCTTTCCTCTTTTTTATATAAGTATAAGATAATAATTAAAAACTGGTCAAAACACTCACCAAAAAAGTGGCAACAATAAATCAGACACAGTAGCTTTAACATTTTAGTTATAAAATAACCTTCAGTGTCTTTTTATTGTTATTGGAACTGAAAAATTCTGGGCAACCGTGTTAACAATTTTCTTGTTACAAGAACACTGTGTGTATGACTGAAGTTTTGCTTTTATCGGCTGATATGTACATACCCGTTTCAGGGAGATACAAGACATACGTCTGTCTTTTCTTATTCATATAAAAGCTAAAAAAATGACATCTATAAAAATATATAATACGAATTTAAAAAAATCTATTTAATTTATTTAAAATGTTAAAGAAAGATTAGATTTTAATAAATATGAAAACGTCAAGACGTGAAATTGGTAATAGCAACAGTTTTTTGTATTAACTTAAAAATCAAGTCGATTATCATATCCTCCTGATTCGCATATTGAATTTGTCAAAATTTTACTTAATACAGTCAAATAAAAACGGTTATTAACTTATTTATTTTAATATGTTCACCTAACGCGAAACAGACAAACGAATGGACAACGAAGTTAATGTATAAGAGTTTGTTTTATTAATTAATTATAATGTCTTAATCATCGTTTCAAATTGATAAATAACATGAATGCGGCGTAGGTCGTAGCTTATCGATGTTTCCAACACCGTTGTATAAAATTTAATTGCCAATTCGGCATAATAATAACAACTTTCTGTGTTTGAACTGTTTCGTCGTCCGCCCTTTTTTTGTTAACGCAAGGAAACCAAGGCACGTAAAGAACACAGCCATAAGGAGCTGAGAGACTCTTCTGTTTGCCAATGAACGAAAATTCTTAATGAGGATTGGATTAGATAGGAATATGTGAACTTAAACAGCTCAAAATAAAGAGCTGTAAAAAGTAAGGCTGAAATCATTTAAAGTTTTTTTGAATTTTAAACTGTCTTTGTAGTTTTTAAGAAATCGAATATTTTGATTAACCATTTTGGAAGAAACAATTTTATTTTAATTTTTTTAGGAACCAACGAGGTGTGAACGACTTGTAAATCGAAAAAATTAGGTTAGCGAATTTTTGATTGATTTTCAAAATTTTTTTCTTTATTCGTCTTGATTCATGGGCTCATTTAAATTTTATCGAAATCGAATTAGTAATTTTCTTTTTATAAGAAACTAAAATATGCTTTTTATCAGATATCATTTAAATTTTTAATGACAAGTTTATATCAGCGAAATACAAATGATTGTCTATGTTTAACGGCTACTATATTTTTTATGTAAGTAGGTATGTTCATTGGTTTCTTCTTGAATTGTGAACCCATTTCTATCAAACTAGCTCTTTCTCCGCCACTTCACCTACGTAAATTATAGTCTATGTCCCCCGTGAATTATGTAGCTTCCCGTAGATGAAAGAAATTTACAAACGGTTCAACAGTTTCGGAGCCAATCCAATGGTAATAAACAGGCAATTAAGCAAATCATTCCTCTTTATACTATGAGTATTACTTTAAGTATTGGAAAAAATATGACAAATAAACAAAATCTCCTGTCCTTAAACTCACTATTTTAACATATTTTTATATAGGTGTTTAATATTTTTAGTGTCACCTATTATATAAAAATTTCAATATCACTAAAAAGCATGTTTATTTTTCAAAATTAGAGCCGTTTTCTAAGTTTAAAAAGTGAGAAATATTAAAAACGACTTATTCAAAGGCCTGCTATTGAAATCGGACTATACTTTAATTAATAGTGACCTACAGGAACATCCGCCTGACTAGGATAGTACTTGCTGGAATAAGTCGCTCCCTTGTTGTAAGTTTGAAATCGGTTCTTATTTTTAATTGTAACCTTTCACCATATGAAACTTTAAATACAAAAAAAATATAATAACATAAAATAATATTGGTTCAATTGGTTGGTTTATTGACGAAAATTCCCTGGCACGTTAATGCAATAAAGGCATCTTATCCTTGCGAAAAATGAAAAAGTTAAAAAGAATAGTTTACAAATAACTTTTTTAAGAGTAACTTTTATGATAATTTTGGTAATCTTATTGAAATTCACCAAAAAAGACAGACAAAAATTATAGTTCATATCTATAAAACACGCTGTTAATTGCTTTTAATTTTATAACCAGTTAATGTTATCTAATTCATTATTTATCTAAATAATTATTTCTAAAACGGCGTTAACACCTTTAATGAATGTTAATGGGATACTAAAATTTGAATTTGAAGACAGTTAATGTTAGGCGTAAATAACTTTTATCTTTAAACTAACTTTAAATAGAAGTATATAAGCAATTCCTATGTTAATTACAAATTACCATATTTAATTAAAGTTAAAAAAATTATGTGAAGTAAATTTGTTGTATGCGTTGAAAATATAAAAGAACATGAAAAATAATTTTTAATTTCAGGTAATTATTGAAAACACAAATGATATTTCAAATTACTTTTATTGTATGCTTATAAATCAGTCAGTTCTTTTGAACATAAGACACATTTGGCACTTTGTTCACAAAAATATGGCTACTTTATTCCATAAAATACTTTCAAGAGCTCTGATTGTGAACGTATTTAATTACAATTAATATCATTTTTATTTAAAGACATAACACATTTACAAAGATAGTAATCACAATAATTTATTACAACTAAGTAGAAATAAGCGTAAAACTTTACATATATTTACATGAATTCATAAACATACAGAGCTCTATGCAGATAATATTGTTTTTTTTTATTGTCACGTTGGTCATTTTAAAGCACAATATTTTCATGTATAATAAACAAATATATACAAACACATTGTAACACATATACATGTTTTAAAACCAAATGCTATAATTATATAAACAAATTTCATATATGGCAAGAGGACCTTGATACAAGATCACTACAATAATCATATTTTGTACAAAAACTTACATTAACAATTAATTTACGTATGTACATTTTTCTATAATCTAGACGTACTCTTCCGAAGGTTTCGGTGTACCATTTGGAAGTCTTAAAGAGGAAGACATTCGTCCATTTACAGAGTCAGGCAATTCCGCAATATCTTTAAAGACTCCTATCATACTTTCGAAATTGGGACCCCAATTCGCGAGGTAATCCCAACCTAATGTAGCTGAAGCGGGTGACCCGTTTACCTGTCTATAAAGAGCGGAACCAACATGTGGGGCTAGGTCATCATCAGAGGCGACTAGAGTGCTGAGAGACCCACGAAACGAAGATTCGAAGCTCTCATAAGGAGGAGGCACAATCGGTTTCTTAGGGTTACTGTTACTGTTTAGATTTTGTCTCCGAACATCTTCCGGTTTGTCAGCACTAATACTATTGTTATCGTATTCTATCTCTGAACATGTGAAACTATCGTTGCCACTTTCGTCATCCGAGCCACTAGAACTTCTGTTGTCATCTTGTGGTGAATGGTGTCTATGAGTCAAATGATGACCGACGCCTCCGCCCCGAGGCGCTTCACTTGAACTAGATACAGCGTCTAGGGTAGATACCAAACTGGATGTTCGTTGTCGAGCATTCATTCGTTCTATTTCTTCAGACGTCAGCCCAACTGCACCCGATCCAACTGAAACTACTTGTGGAACTTGAGGAGGAGCGTTTGGAGTCTTTCTTCCTGCTGATGAACTCTGTCCACTGAGCTGGGACATAACGGGGCTATTTAAACTTCTTTCGCTATTACTATGCAATGCATCTTTCCCCACTCCACCTGAGCTAGAAGTAGTTGCTAAAAGGGCACTTTGCAATGGTTTACCCGAAATGTCATGTAAAGTCAATATTCTTGGTTGTTGACTTAATTCACTACTAGGTGATAAACGCGCAAGCGGAGTAGTTTGGTGTTGTCTAGGTTGGGGTGGTGGTTGCGATGCTTGTGGTAGAACCCTAGGAGGATATCCACTAGTATGGTGTGGCGAATGTCTGTGTTGTGGAGTTTGATGTTTATGGTGATAACCTGCTAGAGGTGGTGGTGTAGCTTTGTATTTACGTACGCCCGCAGCTTCTCTAAATCCTTTATAGTGGTACACAATATCAATATCCGATGGAGCTATTGAACTTGCGTTTTCGAGATCATAATGTTCCGGCACTTCGGAGTTTAAGTCTATTCCACTTGGATGATCGTGGGTATGGTGAGATGTGTTTGTAGAAGGAGGGAGAGGGGGGTGATGATCTTCCCGAAGGGCTGGACTTTTACCAACAACTTCTCTTTCTATTATGTCTGGGCGTTGAGGTCTAGGAGGATCTATATTCATTATTTCTCGATCTTTATATTTTTTCGACAAAAGTTCCGGTCCCACAATATGACCAACGTTTCGCATGATATCAGCATTATCTGACATATAACTATTCAAACTTGTTTCGTTACTGTGCAGATTACGACCCATTAAGCTATCATTAGTACCAGCAATCAAGTTTGGTGCATTCAACATAGCTGGACCACCATTTTGCTTTGTATGTATAATATTGCCTTTATTCGTAGGAGAATTGCCCTTTTCTTTCTTTTGTTTACGTAAACGGAAGAATATAAATGATATCAATATAGCTACTATTAGTATAATAAAGAAAACAATAACTAATGTAATGCCAATACTCAGAGGGTCTGGATTTTGTATTAAGCCTAAACCAAAGGCACTGTGACACCCAGATAATATTTTTCCGTTCTTTTGAATGTCTCTAAATATACTTCCATTTCCTGTAAATGGTTGAATTTCATTATTAATTGAAAAATTAGCTAAGCAGCCTTCAAATTTGTTATTACTAGTCGAAGCTAGCCATTCCAACTTAACCCCTCCAAGTGACATCATTGTGAGATAAGGATCCAAAAAATCATGTACTCCAGCAGAATCTAGTTCTTCTCCAACATTACTGCTGTCGACTAACAAACGTATACTTCTTCCTAAGGAAAATAGAGTTATGTTGTGCCAGTTGCCATCAGACACATCATGTTGTTCTTCTTGTGTCATATTAACTACGGTGTTTTGTTTTGAGGTATAACTAACTTTACCATTTGATATCTCAATTAATGTGTAATATTTATCTGTGGCTGCGTAAAATAATATACCATCTTTTTTGTGAGTTCTAAAGAAAAAAGTTAATGTTTTTGCGGGGTTCTTTGTAGTTATCTTTCCATTTAATCTATTGACTTTCTTGTCCCATCCGGTGTTGCCACCATAAAAATGTTCAAGTAAATGGATTCTTCTATGTTTTTCTGATATAATATAAGAGATAAATCCACTTTCACCCACAGATATTGATTGCAGTGATGTTGTACAGTCTGGAGATACGAAACGATCATCACATTTGCAATAATTATTTTTCCATCTATCAAGGCATTCTCCTCTACCACAAACATCTTTTTTGTAACAGGCACCTTTTTCAGTGCGTTCACAATTTGAATCGACTCCTCTTGAGCTTAATGGATTAGTTAAATTTAACAAACGTCCGTTTACAGATATGCTGTGCATACATCCGACAAAATCATCAGAATGTATCTGTCCTGGGCGTTCTAAGACTGGATCTGCCTTATATAATCCACCAATAAGAAGCGGCTCGTTATTGAAATTCAATGTTCTGCAAATGAAAAAAATAAAAAAAATGTGAAACAAGATACAATACATCATAATATGAAACAACAAAATAATGAAAAAAATAATATGTATGCTTAGATAAATTGATAAAAATTACGTACCCTGCTTGCCCTGTATCGTCACCATAACAAGAATCATCTCCTGGTTCGCATTCCATGCATATATCTCCATGATCAGTACAAGAAGCGATGCTTAAAGATATGACTCTTCCATTTCTAGTTGCAGATAGTTTGTACCATCCACCGTCAGCAAGATTTTTATTTGATTCTGTTATCGTAACTGATGTTATTGAGGTTCTAGATCCCCCAAAAGAAAAAACTGGTTTTCCTCCAAGTAATTCAATTGCTATGAAATCTGATCTTCCTCCTGTTTGTGCACCAAAATTATATAATAGCAATGAATCTGGTTTTGTTGTTGCGAATATAATAGTGATATCATTCGTTGATGCATCTAATGCTGGGAACTGCATGTATGATAATTCATTAAAACCAAAAGTTGTACTTTCACAATGTGTACCGTAGCGACCATTCGTGCAGCTGCATTTATAGCCAGGTTTAAGACTGATGCAAATTCCACCATGCAAACAAGGATTAGGTCTGCAAGAGTCTACAAGTGCTTCACATTGATTGCCACGATAGCCTGGACGACAAAGGCAGAAGAATGAGTTTCTATCAGCGCTTTCTTTACAAGACCCTCCATTCTTACATGGGCTACTGCTACATACGTCATCTCTTTCTAATTCACAGGTCTTACCCTCTCTGCGAACTGGACAGTTACAAATGAAATCATGTCCTTGTTTTTTACATTGTCCACCGAAGTGACATGGATTTGGTGAACAAGGATCTTGCTTTTTCTCGCATTTGCTTCCCATAAAACCTTCTGTACAATCGCAGTTATAGTCATGTTTAACCAACGGTGACGATAATATAAGATTTGAGCTTTCAGTAATTTTAGTTTCGTCTATTACTTTAATTGAATCTGTACATATACCATTATTTTCACATTTATGCGAGACACATGGGAAATATGGTATTTTAACCTGCCTTTTCAATAACTTTGTTATTTCATTTTCTTTATTTTTTAAATGTCTTTCAGTAGTTTCTCTTTTCCAAATAGTGTTATCAACTTTTATAGCTAATGTTAAAAGTAAGTCATTTTCTGCTTCATTTATACTATACAAATAAATACTTTCAGTATCCCGTAGTCCATTTTTAATAGTTTCTAGTAAACTTCTATAGTAATGTGTTAAAAATTCTGAAGAGGTCATATTCATTACTTTTATTGTGATTGATTGTTTAATAGTTTCATTATAAAAAGAGAAATATTCAACACTTATAGAAGAAATCACGTCTCTATGTATCCCATCATTTCCTAAAACAGAAAAGGTATATCCTTGCCCTGGTTTTACTGCTGTTGAATAGAGATCACATCCATTTTTGATACTTAAGATTGAAAGAGTATTTTCAGATGTCGACTCTTTAACAATATGACATCTATAATCTCCAACAATATCGGCGTCATTTGGTTTTACATTAGCAATTTTACCATTTGTAACTTTGTTATTGAAGGCATAAACTAATACATGTACTGATCTAGAAGTTGGTGGATTGTCGTTTCTGTCCAATACTTTAATTGATAATGTAAAATTAGACCTCATTATTGGATTACCGCTATCTTCGATTTGTATAGTAATTTCTAAATTAGGAGTTACTTCTCGATCTATTTTTCTAGTTGTAAGGAGAACTCCTGTATGTCGGTTAACTTTCACATAATTTTGATGTCTTCCACCTATAATAAAATAAGAAAATGGTGCACCATTTGGTGGTAGATCTGGATCTTTAGCGGTGAGTGTAGCTATGCTAGTATTAGGTGGTTCATTTTCGTATACAGCACCTTCAAAATTTGCTACATCAAATACAGGGCCGTTATCATTAATGTCAGTCAATGTAATCTTGACAGTAGCCGTGCCAGTTTGTGGAGGAATACCAGTATCTATAGCACCTACAATAAGTGTGTATGTTGGCATTGTTTCTCTATCTAGAAGCCGAGAGACTTCTATTTCTCCTGATTGTGGATCTATTTTAAAATCTTGATTAACATTCCCACCTATAATTGAAAAACTAAATTGATTATTTTGTGGTCTGACATCTTTATCTACAGCTTTCACTTGAATAACTTCTTGACCTATTGCGGCACCTTCAGATATAGTTGCCTCATAAAAGTGTCGTAAAAACTCGGGTGGATCATTTCCATCTTGAATTGAAATAATGACTTGTGCTTCATCAGTATCATTTCCATGTATGCCACCATAATTTTTTGCCAACACTGTTAACACGACTCTATTTTGGGTTTCTCTGTCTAAATATCTGGCAACTCTTATCACACCACTCTGAGAGTTTATACTAAAACCTTTATCATTACTTGATCCTACAAATAAGTAGTATATTATTCCATCATCACCACTATCTTGATCTGTAGCTTGAATATCCCCAACATTTGTGCCTACTTCTGCAGATTCAGACACATCAAAATGAAACACTGGTTGAACAAATTTTGGATAATATTCATTTACGCCGGTTATATATACAACTACTTCAGTTGTATTTTGCATCGTAGAGTCAGGATTTTTTGCCAATATTTGCAACCTGTATACTGATTTTTCTTCAAAATCAAATACTTCTTTGGAAAATATTTGTCCAGAATTAACGTCAATACGAAACAAAGATGACATTTCATTTTTTATGTAATACTTGATTATGGAATTTTTTGGTGAATCTATATCAACTGCTTTTACTTTATATATAAAACTATTAATGGGTGAATTTTCAGGTAAATAAGCTATATATTGCGTTTGATTGAATACGGGAGCATTGTCATTTATATCTGTTAATATAATAGTCAGCGTAGCCTTCGTTTCTTTGGATTTGAATCCCAAGTCTTTAGCCGTTATATTAAGTCTATACTCTGGGATAGTATCGTAATCCAAAGGGCTTAAAATACTTATGATTCCAGTTATAGGATGTATATCAAATTCTTTTCCAGTGTTTCCGGATGAAATAGAATATCTAACAATACCATTAGGACCTTCGTCTTCATCACTCGCTTTGACTGTTAGAATTGATGATCCTATTGGTTCATTTTCAGGCACAATGACTTGGTAACTTAATGCAGTAAATTTAGGACTATTAATATTTTCCCCCGTCACTACAAATGTTAATTTTGTTTCATCTAATTGTGGGGGAACACCACGATCTACAGCTCTTATCCTTAACTCATAATATTGACCCATGTAATGAAATTTCTTGCTTACTTTTATCCAGCCTTCGTTTTTGTCAATTGTAAGGTAGGCAGTACCATTTCCTCCTGATACATAATATTCTATTTCGGCATTAATACCAAAGTCCAATTTGTCTTCGGCAACTAATTTAATTATTTTCTCTCCAAGAATTGCTTCTTTTGGTACAGGAACAAACTTTTCATGATTTTTAAATTTAGGTGCATTATTATTAGCATCTACCACATTAATAGTTACCAAACATTCTGAAGACATTGGAGGTTTTCCATTATCAGTTGCAACAACAACTACAGAGTAAGTATTTTCAGGAGATAGATTGACGGAATTTCGTTTATAATTCATGACAAATTTGCTTAAAATTTCTCCGGTTGCAGGGTCTATAGAAAATAAATCTGAAGTTTGTTGTAATGAATATGATATAATCGAATTTGGTCCTTGTTTATCTCTATCTGTAGCTATTACTTGTCCAACAAAACTATTTTTTTGTTGTAATTCTGGGAAATTAAAACTATAATAAGAGTATTCGAATTCAGGTGCATTATCATTTTGGTCCTGGATCGTGATTGTCAATGGTGTTTCAGAACGCCAAGCACCGTCAATAGCTGCAACTTTCAAAATATATTCATCTTGAAGTTCTCTGTCTAATGGTCGTGCCACTGTTACGTTACCACTAATTGGATCAATTAGAAATTTTTCGCCAGGATTTTCAACAAAACTATACGTAGCGTTAGCATTTGGGCCAGTATCCAAGTCTGAACTCGTAACTTTAATCACAAATGAACCTATCTCTGCATTTTCAGTAACATTGACGCTAAATAATCTAGTAAATCTGGGTGGGTTATCATTTTTATCCAACACTGTCACAAGTACTGTACTTGAGCCGATTAACTGTGGCACCCCATGATCAGCAGCTTCTACTAGAATTTCATAAGATGGTATTGATTCTCTATCTAATGCAATATTAGTGAATATTTCTCCCGTATCTGGATCAATTGAAAATGTTTCTTCATAATCATTAACAAGTCGGTAAGAAATTCTGCCATTTTCATTTGAATCTTCATCATGAGCCTCTATTTTTATTACTAGTTGTGGTTGATATTCTTCTTCCATAACGGTTGCATTATACAAAGGACTTTCAATGATTGGTGCGTTGTCATTAGCATCTGTCACTTTAATTTCGACTTCAATAAAGGATTTCAATGGTGGATTATCTGAATCTCTCACTTCGAACCATACTTCATACAAAGGCATAGTCTCAAAGTCTAAACCTTTCCCAGTAATAAAAACTTCTCCACTAATTTGTTCTACACGTAAAGCATCACCAACATTCCCACCTGCTATAGCATATTGCAGTAATCCAGTCGGCCCTTTTTTAGGAGATATTGCTGATAATCTTGTTACCAAAACACCTTCTGGTGTATTTTCGGAAAAAGTGAATGTTAATTTATTTGATATAGTGAATTTCGGAAAATTTTTAACTGATTTAGGGATTAGAATTAGTTCAGCTGTGCTTTGCTTTGGCATCAAACCACAATCGGTGGCTATGATAACTAAATTGAAGGTAGAATCAACTTTTCCAACAAAATTCATTATTCCGTCTTTAGATTTTATAACTCCTGTTTCTTTATTTATGCTAAATAGTTCTTGGTGTTCACCTTTGAGGTCATAAACAATTTTTCTATTTAAACCGATATCATTATCTTTTGCTCTGACCCCAAATACAAAATCACCTTTTTTAGTTTGTTCAGAAATGTGGGTTTCATAAACCGGTTTAGAAAATATGGGAGTATTATCATTTTCATCATCAATGGTTATAGTAAGATTGGCAGTAGCAGTCCTTGGATCGGTTGTTGAAGAGTCTTGAGCCATTACAATCAAATAATAAATATCCCATTCTTCTCTATCTAAGGTTGCATTTGATGAAATTACTCCTGTAGTTGGGTCTATTTGGAACCTTTCTGATTTATCCCCAAGAAGACTGTATCTGATCTTTGCATTATTACCCAAATCTTTGTCTGATGCTTTTGGATGCAAAATATATGTGCCTGGTGGTAAATTTTCTTTAATAGAAGCTTTATAACTTTGTCTTTCAAACTCTGGGCTATTGTCATTAACATCTTGGACTATTATTTTTACTGTTCCAGATCCCGTTAGTGGTGGTGAACCTATAAATATAATAAAAAATTAATAAATGAAAACAGAAAATTAATGTCTTTAATATTAAGTTCTTCTTAATATTAAAGACATTAATTTTCTGTTTAGATATGAGATATTAGAGTATGAAATTACCTGTATCCATTGCAACAAGTGATAATGTATATACATCCTCAGCTTCTCGATCTAATGTACGTAATAAGGAAATTTGCCCAGAAGAGGCATTTATTTTAAAAAGATCTGCATCTCCTTCTTTTATAAAATATCGTACTTGATTATTAAATGGGGGTGAATCAGCATCATAAGCATGAATTGTTATAATGTAGCCATTGTTAGGAGGAATAACGTTTTCCATTACGTAGGCTAAATATGGTGAATCAAGAAACGTGGGTGGATTATCATTTATATCTTGAATTGAAATAGATATTTCAGCCGTGTCAAATCTGACGTCATCTTTAGCACAATCTTCAGCTCTAATGATTAAAATATAACGCGATTTACGTTCAAAATTTAAATTTTTGGCCACTCGTACGACCCCTGTATCTTCGCTTATACTAAAATCTCTATTTTCATCTCCTGATGCTATTGAATATCTGACTCTACCGTTGATATCTTCATCGATATCTGTTGCTGACACCTGAAATTAATCCGAAGATTAACATTTATTATTATGCTTTATAAATTCCGTTCATTAAAACGCTACCTGTTATTAATTAAATAAATAATATTTATTATTATATAAAATTTTATTATTAAATAACTTTTATTAAAATAAATTAAATATTAATAATTAATTAAATATTCTCTAAAGATACTTTAGCAAAACTTATTATAATAATAAAATGTATTATAATAATAAATATCGATAAATTATTTAAATAAACATTGTTGATAAGTATCTATTTTCTGATAAACGATTTTAATAATTATGAAAACATTACGACTTAAAATTTGTTATTATTTAAGTCAGACATTGCCAAGAAAATAAAGAATATTTACCTCTAAAACGCTTGCACCTATACTGGCATTTTCTGGAACAGAAGCGCTGTACTGCTTTGGATCAAACACTGGACTGTTATCATTTTCATCAAGAATATTAATGTTAATCTTGGTTTTCGTTATATTTGGTGGGTCACCTCTGTCTTTAGCAGTTACTGTTATAGTATAACTTGATTTTAGTTCTCTGTCTAACTTTCCAGTAGCTCGTAAAATTCCATCAACATTTCCTAATGAAAAGTATCCATTAATTTCTGGATCCGGACTCATGAAATATTCAACGTATCCATTTCGTCCTTCGTCTTTATCGATGGCTTTGATTGTCATTACAACAGTGTTCAATGGAATATTTTCTGATACTGTTGTCATATTTGGTGAAACAAATTCCGGAGCCATGTCATTGACGTCCTTTAATTGTATGGTTACCTGAAATTTCGTTTATGATATTCATTAGCGAATTTGAAATGGTTTAAATGAAATGAAGATAAAATATGGCGATTGTATGTTATAAAAGATATAATTCAAAGCAATTTTACCTACTAGTTCGAAATTACTAAACACATACACTGGTATGTCAGTATGTTGTAAGTTTGGTAGTATAGAGAACAAACCTCTGACTTGTTTTCTTTTAAAACTAAAAGACCAAAATTTAATTCGCTTGTAAAAATAAAAGACCAAAGTTTATTACCTGAACTGTTGAAGAAAGTTGAGGTTCTGGTGGCTTTGCAGAATCTTTAGCCGTTACAATTAAATTGTAAACCGGCACTGTTTCTCTATCCAACATATTAACTGTCAATATTGTACCATTGCTGTTAATTTCAAAATCGTGAGAATCATCTCCAGATGTAAGACTGTATGTCAACTTTCCATTTAATCCTGCAAAAATTAAAAAAATATTTTTTTTGTACAATAATGAATATTAAAGTTTGACAGTTATCAAATAATATTAAAACTTTGCACGTATGTTGAAATAAAAAATTGTACATAGATTTATAGTTTTGAATACAAACAATATTAATTAGATAATTTACACTATATTTATTAAACCATTCTTCTTTGTAAATTATCCAATGGGTTTAAAATAAAAATTGAAATAGTCTTTCGATGATTTACTTTATAGATGTTTTACTATCGCATTAAATTGAATATCTATTCTACTATTATTATAAAACGTAAACTTTCTAATTTTTTGGAATGGAATAGTAGGTAATCTTCGTAAAATAGTATTTCGGCTACGATAAACTACATCATGCACGGTTGCTATAGGCTATTATATACACGGACGAAGTCGCGGGAAAACAGCTTATCAAAATAAAATAAATGGATATAGACTGGTTGCCATTTACTGCGTTTACCTGAATCCAAATCAGTGGCACTGATAGTAACTACTGTTGAACCGATAGGTACGTCTTCTGTAATCTCATTAGAGAAACTCATGGGATCGAAAATGGGTGCGTTGTCGTTTAGGTCTATAACGTTGACATACACAGTCACAGTGCCTGACAACGATGGCCGTCCGTTATCATGCGCTTGCGCAACCAGGATGTAGTGCTGCGTCTGCAATGATATAATAAATAATTACAAATATTGGATAGCTAGCCTATCCGATAGAGTACGTTAAGTACGCAAGGTTTCATCTATAATAGTATTAAAAATAAAACAAATAGTTTATATATTTGCTTAATTTTGCATTTACAATGCTATACTGAAAAAAATTTATAAATCAATTTTTTTAATAAGAATATTTTTCAAATAGTGTCAAAAGCGGTAAGGATGAAAAATTATATTTGAAATATTTTATGAGTTAATTTTTTTTTGAGAAATGCAGGTTTGTCGTAAAATACACATTACCGTACTAGACAATATTCAAATCCTTACAAACACCAACAGTCATACAAAAACTAGTAATTTTCAAATAGACGCTATACAAATCTTAACTAAAAAGGATAATTACAGACTCCGTAATCTAACTTAGAAAGCATTAGTAAACGTGCCTGAAACAATGCTCGCTTTTACTGTTCGTAATATTTTACGAACCGAGCAGGCATTCACATTTTCCATATAATAGGACTGCAAAGCCTTCTAACTATGACAAGCTCCCTCATTCGCGAACCGTGAGCCGAGTTGTGCGAAAAACCAGGCAGCGGAATCCGGCCCGGGGATGTTTTTTGGACGGCCGCTTTGTCCGACATTGTTCGGGCCTTAATTTCGACGGTAGATACAGTGGGCAAATGCCGAATATGATGCCCGATGCGAAAAAAACCACACCGGTATGAAATTAGCAGCTCTCTAGCGGGGTACGCGGAATTGGCGGGCGGTCGAGAAAACGAATGTACCGAGTGAATTGTTTTTACTAATTAGAAGGGCTGGCCGACTTGATGAGCCGGCTCGAACCCCGCCCTTATAACTTGAGTATGGCGACGAATTCTACTGGCTTCGATTTGATATTTTTTTTTCTATACGAACGTTAATGTAGCTAAATTATTGTATTTAAATGTAGATAGAAAAAGCATAAAGTTTACAAAGACTGATTTTATTACCTTTATGTAATACTAGATTATTAGCTTGTGTAGTTTAAAGGTACTCAGCGTACACACAGTGGGAAGCAACTTTGTTTTATTCTATGTATGTTTAAACTTAGAAGTTGCTTATTTAATAACAATTTATTTTAGTTAATTTTGCATTCACAATGCTAAACTGACAAAATATCCTTAATGAAAAATTCTTAAAAATTTCACTTTGTCCCTGGCATTCTAAGATGGCCTTTCGCAATCCGGGCGACTGTTCTAATCATTGAGCTACCCAGGACCTAACAGAACTCTCTATTTTTTTTCGTGTATCAATAAACTCAGACTGGGAATTTTCAAAAGTCGTTTAAATAATATTAAATATACTTGAGATATCAAATACCAAGTTAAAGGTAGCTTCAGACTTCGTGTGATGATAAGTAATTATAATATATTAGTTTGATTGAGTAGCTCGGTGGCATAGTGGTTAAACGCCGCGACCCGCGATCGTTGTTATAAAACTTTCGCAAGGGTCGATCAGGGTTTTGTGCCCCGTGCTTTGGAAGGCACGTTAAGTCGTTAAGTCCCGGCTGCATTTGCAGTCGGTAATACCCTTCAATCCACATTGGGCAAGCGTGGAGGGCCATGGCCTATTTGTTACTCATTATTTCGTTAATTTTTAATATTCTTCATATTAGAATAAATTACGTCTTTAATATTAGAATAAATTACAATTACTAAACAGACAGTTTATTAAACAGAGACTTAGCAAAGGTTAACTTAGTACGAGGTTCTACGGGGGTCATATTTACTCATAAAAGGTAGAAAGTTTGCTTATTCTTTGTATAATATGAACTCCGACTTATACTAAAATTACAATTTTAAGCGTAAATTTGATCTGATGCGAAACCTTGTTTATTAATAGTCGCAGTTTATCAATGACATACTTCGTGATACGAGAAAATTATACTTATATATATACTAGCTTTCCGTCAGCGGCTTTTCGACCGTAGGCCCTAGATAACTATTTAGTGGGATAAACGCCCATTTGCATCGACGTTCATTAAGGTTTAATGATGACTTTAAGCACTAATGAACGTTCTCAATTAAAAATGTGTCGGTAATTACGCTTTAAACTAATGCGAAATTTAAGAACGTTTTGCAACCGCCAGTAAAAGTAGCCTAATTATTCATGCAGGCTTACAATTATCCATATACCTTCTATTAAATTCCGTTCGGTAGTTATTACGTGAAATAGTATTAAACATACATACACCCTCACAATATAATTTATAATATTAGTAGGATTTATATTATTAATGTTACATCGCAGACTCATTATTTTTATAGACTGTAATATAGAGGGAGCCATTATGATGTTAATCTGTGTACACCAAGGGCTGAGACAGGTATTTTTCTGAAGTAAACGTCCTTAAGCCTTTTGTAGCGGTAATGTTACATTAAAACTCGCTCAGGGCCTCCGTTGGCCTTTGTTTCGCCAACAACATTTAATATTAATAACAAGCTATAAATTCATCTTACAAGTACTTACGTATACTTAACTATACATAATTTAATGTTATAACACTGAAAATGTTTACCCATTTTTGTATAATTAATATAAAATATATTTTTACACGGTGCAAAACTTGGTTTTTCATTTTGTATTTAGACATTTCGAAGTCATCTATTTAATTCTACTAACACAAGTACAACGAGGCTGTTAAGTCAACAACTACTACGGACGTTAATAACAGCCTCATTGTAACTATTTGGTGGACGTTTAGTGGATCACATGGGTCATTGACCGGCACGAGATCTATGCTGAGATAATTCTTTCAACCGCAATGTATGCCCGCGAGCAGTCGCTAACTCGGATAGATATGCCTACATCAAAAATAAATATCGTTTATTTTATATAAAGTATAAATGTGTTATCAAATGCTCATGTGCGTTCCTAACAGATAAATGTGTGTATTTTGGTTGCTTCATTTGTCTATATGTAATGTCAGGCAATACCATAGAGAAATCACAATAAGATAGTACCAATTCAACTTAATTTTTCCCAATTGCAAGTTGTAAACGCCGTCTAGTTTTATATAATTCTTCTTATGTACGTATAGGCAATTGTATGATTGTTTTAGTGACTAATTAAAAATATAAACCATACAAACGAGACATTCATTATGATCACCTTTTGTAGTACAAATACATTAAATAAATTAAAAAAAGTAAACAATTAAAGTGAAATGTATGTAGGTTTCTCGTTCATTTTACTTATTACATTCAAAACTGACGTGAAATCAATCAGGCTTGTTATTCCAATTACTTTAAAGCACGAAAGGGACTAAAATAAATGTTCATTTGCAAATTAACTATTTAAATGTTTTTCGGTTACCAATGAATATGCCAGGGTGTAACGCGTCGTGTTCCTTTTATCGTAATTATTCGCCTCTGTAATCGCTTAATCTATTTAAAGTGTTTTTAATTGCGCGTTTCTTAAGTTTTTACGGCGGTGTCGCACAGTTTTACGAGGTCTTGTCAAGTCAACTTGAACGCCTACGTTAATCCGCGATCCTTTACTTGCGGACATTAAGTCGTTAAATCATTTTTGTTTCGAATCTTTCCACTAGGATATAATTAAGACTTTGCGATTTTTAAATTTAGACGATACTCGAATAAAAACTTCTTGTTGCTTAAAAAAATATTTTGTTTTTCGAACAGGAAGTATTATTAAAGCAATTTAAAGTTAAGTATTATATTGTAGAGATTGCTTTTCACATATTATGCTTATACAGCATGTACATCATCATCTTATTAATGTCCCCTATGGTGAGGTATAGACCCTTTCGATCGAATCGAAACGAATCAAATAGGAGAGAATGGACCATACCGAACTCAGGCCCAGTGCGGATTGGTGGCTGTTAGTGACTGCAGATGCAGCCAGGACCAATGGCTTAATACCATTCCAAAGAACTGAACTTGAGATTTTGCTCACCCATCCTATGAATTGCCCTTACGATATCATACTGTACATCAAGTCCAACAAAACATACAGCAATTGTCGATGATATTGATTTAATAATTATTTGTATGCATTATGCATTCGTGACATTATATATTATATATAAACACAAACTTGTATTATAATATATCTTTAAACTATTCTAATAGCAAGTCATATAACTGTTAGCATTTGTTATTCAGAAAAAGTTTGCAATGATATACCTGTTAATTTTATTCAAACCCTCTGTGTTACTTTAAGCTCTTCAATGCAATGCACTGTGTATAACACACTTACTTTTTAAAAAAAATGCATTTACATCGCATTGAATAGATCACGGTCCTTACCATGATCTACTTTTAAAACTAAGACCTTACTTAGTATTAAAAATAGACTAACCTCTTCAAAGTCTAATCTAGCAGTCAACGTGAAGATGCCAGTTTGTGGATTCAATGAGAACACGTCGTTGGCCCAATCCGAGATAACGGTGTAAGTGAGTTGTGCGTTTGGTCCCGAATCCAAATCGATTGCAGCCACGGTGCCAACCACCGAACCCCTGGCGGCGTTCTCCGGGATATCGAAGGAGTAAGCACTTTCTTTGAACACTGGCGGATTGTCATTTGTGTCGGTCACCTGAAAACGGGAAATGTTTAAAGTTTTGTATCTGAAAAATGGTTTTGTCAATGACTTTATATGCAAGTAGTTCTGCATGTGGAGTGCAGAGAATTTTTCTGCCTCGTTTTCATTTATCGAGGAATCAATGAGACCACAGAAAATGCCCGGTCTGCAGGAGCTTTGTCCGCAAATACAAATAAGCTATAGGGAAATTTTTACGGTATAAAAACTAATCTTATAACCCAATAACCTCTAGGGAGTTTTATACTATCTCCATATTTTTTCAGTGATTTAAGTGTAAAAGCGCAATTATTTTGCACAACCTTTTTAACCTATAGTTAAAGTAGACATAACATAACGATAACGAAGAGTAGCGCTATTCTTACAGAAGCTTAAAGCTAACTAACATGGCAAGTAAAAAGCTTTTAAGAATATGTTTCACTGATAAAATAAATCAAATATCAACTAATTTTTTGCCAATGTAGTGTAAACATTTTCTACTTCTTTTCTCTTCTTTGTTTCTGATAAATAAGCCTATTCCATACTCTTCTTAAAAAATCAAGAATGCTACCGCCACCTAATAACGTATCGTTCTTAAAGTTATGGGACCCATAGTAATACAAGTACATAAGAGCTTTAAAATTAGCTATATTCAAACCAGTAGTATTCTTTTGACCTATTCAATATTTTTTGCCGTACTAAACATACAGAGGTACTTATTAATGTCTCATTTTTATATCTTCATTTAGTTTTAACGACAAAACTTACGTAATACAAATAAAGTTCAACAATACCAGCGTTATCATATAATCAAATTTTAGTTAAAAAGAATGTTCAACAAAGCCTGTTACTCGTCGAAGTGACAGGCAGAAATAGATTCAAGACGGAGCCCGACAGATCAAAATCAACGGTGCGAGACGCAGGTACCTACTTCGGTATCTGTACACTCGAATGCATATTTATTTCGATGATCTATTTAGTATTAACATTAAGAAATGAAACTATAAAAATAACCTCGTAATCCTAGATAAACTTTAACTAAAACAAATTTGCCATTAAGTGGATCTTTGTATTAAATATTATATTTGATTTATATGCATTTGCAGCTATGTTATTTTGTTTACATTATCGACCTTAGCTGAGATTCATATAAATTCCTCTCAATACTCTTATTTCATTTCAAATATTTAAACGAATAATCTCTGTAAGAATTATCTTCACATCTGTACATTTGAGATGTCAGTTGAAATATTCCTACCACATTACATGTATCTCATAGACACGACTAAAAAAACGTTTAAAATGTACTAACCTGAATGATAACAGTAACATCTGTATATTGAATGCCATCATCAGCTCTTATTACCACTTGGTATTCGGCTGTTGTTTCTCTATCTAAAGGGTCTTTGAGCGTTAATTCTCCTGTATGAGAGTTTAACGTAAAAGGCGTAGGGTCTTCTGTTTGTATGCTGTACGTTATAGTTCCAATAGTGTCTGGATCTTCGGCGGTGATAGTAGCTATCAGCTGTCCCGGTGCGAGGTCCTCTGAAGCCATGTAAGCAGGTGGTATGTTTTTGAATTCAGGTGGTGAATCATTCTTGTCTAAAATCACAACCTCGACCTGAAAACGAAATAAATATCGTTAATAAACTTCTTAATGTTACGAAAAATCAATTTGTATAGTAAATATAAAATGCCTCTGCCTATTATGACCAAAATATTGGGCAGTTTTCATAGAATATTTTGGGTTGTGACAGCTAAGTGTTGTTTGCCGTTAATATTGAAACTCATTTTTATTGTCTTTTGTAACAAATAATGAGGGATTAGTTATTCTCATTTTCTACAAACGTTTTATACACTATTTACTGTCCCGTTTGTGTAAATACGTAGTAAGCGACATATTACCTATTAGCGGATTTAATTAAATATTTCTCTCTCTCTCTCTCTCTCAAGCCCATCATTTGTTTTCAAAAAAATTACTCCTCTTACTATAAAGACATCCTTTTTTGGGGAAAACAATGCAACTTCATAATAATACTGTATTTAAAACGAGCCTCGATTTCACAAAACAGTTCCCAAGTGGTCGGGTGGCATGTTTTATTTATGAGATTGGCACAAAATCGACCACTTTAGCACAGTGCAAGAACACGAAGCAAATTAATAATTCTAAAAATGCAGCTGGCGAGGCCCGATTGACGCATGCGCAACGTTTTTTTATTATTTTTCATGAGTTTGCTTGACCAACGTCTCGTTTGAAAATTATGGCACTACGCAGACTTGGAAGATAGCAATCACTCTTTTTCTACACGTGAGCCAATAACCTAATACCAATTTTAAATGGATCAAGACCAATATATAATCTAATCCATATTGTTTTTAAGAGTATTCTTAGTTTCGGATATATTCACTCTGAAAGACCTTTACGAATTAAAAATAAAGTAAGAGTTTTTAAAAATAGTTGTACATAAGCATCTAATGTGAATGAAGAAATTTCTGAACAACATAATTTTTTGCTGAAATGCAACAAAGACGGAAGAACTTGGTAAAAAAATATTTATCTACTTTATTAAACATACGAGGATTACACTAGTAAATATTAGACACCTAGTGTAATAAAATATAAAACATTAGTTTTTCAAATTAGTATCATTTGATTTAGATGAAGATGAATGCATTCAGTTGGATTAACTTCTAAAAATTGATTCGAAAATTCAACGACGAACAACTGACGGCATCATATCTTGATGCGTTAGTATCTGTGATCCTAAGTGCATTCATCAATATGATTAATGGTCCTATTTTTATTTTCTTTCTTGTGATTTAATTTTTTTATTAACATTCTTTTTTTCAAAAGGGTGCTACCAATTTTTTAGACCACGGCTGATATATGATTTTGATGAGTTTTTGTATACGGAATTTTTCGCAAAGATTTATTATATAGTACATCTTAATTATGCATTCGATATCGTTAGTAAAAAAAAAACGATAGTTTACACAACGTGCTTTATGGCAAGAATTATTATGTAATTGACTTTTTTACAATGACGATTCTGTCAGTTTTTGTCCGTCGATTTAAACGAAGGCACTGTTTAATTCCCGCTTGATGCGATACGTTAGATAAGATTTATGAAGTCAGAGGCGAGCTTTACAAGCGGGGCCGGCGAACGTTTACAAAAAGCCATTCGAAGAGAACTCGACAAGTCAACAAAGGCTGAGAGGAGTAAAATACTAAAACGGGGCAACATTTCGTCATCCGTGCTCTAAAGCTCGAAGAATTCGGGACACAATGATCGGAGCCGTCACAGATAAGAGGAGTCCGATTGTAGAGAGTTCTCTGCCCTCGAGACGGAGGCAGCGCATTTGTTATGATGACTCAATCTTTTCTTTGTAACCCGGGAGGGTGCAGTCCCGAGCACGAATAGAATACTCGAAACGCCCACGAAACTTTACGTAAGAGAAGCAGCAATTAACGCTGATTGTACCAACTTGAAACTCTTTGGAAAAAAATGTGATGTGTGTGTTAATAAAATTTATTGTTCAGAAAATAAGAACGCCTGAGAAAGCACCGGTCGGCCGGTTCGATTGTAAACATTTGCTTTATTGTTGTAACTGTATAAGATGTATGTGAATAAGTTTAGTGTAGTTGTCTAACTTGTTACTAACGGAAATGACAAAAAAAAATGTTTTCCTAATTGTCTTATCGCTTGTTGAAATATTGTATTGTAAGTTGGAGGGCGGTGAACTCGAATCGACGATAATACAAGGGAATGCGTTAATTGCTTCGTTTCGTTAACCGATTATGATATCTGTAGGTAATGAGTAAATTTTAGATATGGATTCTTAATAATCTGGAATAGGTTTAGGCGGGAACACAATATCATAGGTAAGAAGATTAAAAAGATTTATAACAAATACAAAGTTGGGCTCAGGTATGGCCCTTGTGGCAGCAGACCCCCTACAGTTCATGGTTGAAGTAATCGATTAACCGAAGAGAAATGACAGTACGTCGGTTTAGTGGGATCGTCGATTAGTCAAGTTTCGATAATTGATTATGGTTCGCTACTAGATTAATAAGAAATAATGTGTGTTTTCATGTAGCCCGCTCAATGAGTAATGATTAGATCTGGCCACAGCACATGAAAAAAGAATCGTCAACATTTAAAACTCATGTACCATTCTAGAGCCTCATGTCAAGGAGTTTATTGAACCGAAATACAAACATCGACACGTGTTTGATTTCACCATTATGAAAAAAGAAACAATAGAATAGACAATAATTTATCAATCGGAAAATTTCAAATGATACATTATTAAAAATCTTTATCGGTCAGCTGCACAAATGGCAAATTTGTATCGGTAATAAAGCTTTATAATAATGACAATTTTGATGGACGTTTGTGCAACTGGCTGTATAGCTATTATGTCATTAAATTATTATCAAATGTTAAGTTTAGTAGTAGCATAGTAATATAACATGACTATAAAGCAATTTTTTGCGACTTTGCTTGAGTTAGTAGTTACGGATCCTATTTAATGTAAACAAACATTATTGTTTGTTTACATCTTTTCTTTATAATATTAGCATAGACAAATATGGTAATTCAATTTGAATTTACCAAAGTTTCAACTGCTTTTAATGTGACTTACCTAATAATAAATATCAAAACATGTATAGCAAAAAAGATTAATCTTGCTTTAACTTAGATTGTTTATCTGATTTATAGTTAAATATCATTTAATAAATATGTAATAATCATCCTCTGCCTTATTACCTACATCTTCACTGCAGGGGCTCATAGAGGCCTTCCTTGTGGTTAAGGAACACGGGCCATGACCCTGCACGCTAGCCCAATGCGGATTGGAGGGTATCAACGCCTGCAAATGCAGCCGGGACTAACGGCTGAACGTGCTTCCCGAAGCACGGAGTAGCTCAAGATAATATTTGTTTTGGTCACCCATCCCGTGACCGACCCTTGCGTAAGTTGCTTAACAACTCGCGTACTGCGGCGCTTATCCACTACGCCACCGAGCTACTCAAGAGGTAGCTAATATAAAATAACTATTTTCTACTACCAAAAAAGAATTGAAGTATTTTTATTATTTCCTATTTTGATTAAAAATGTTTTAATTAGGTAACTTCTCATATATAACCTGTAAAGAAAACCGGATTCTCGTAGTTGATTCATGTACTTTATTGGGACAAATCACCTCGTGACTTTTTCATATTGGTCTTGGCAAACGAGCTCTGCCATTTCATGACAGGGGCATTAAGAATAGTTAACCTTCGACCCTATAATGTATACGCATAATTTTTAAACTTGTACCATAACATGGCTAAATTTCATTAAATTTTTATTCGATTTGATGATAATTAATATGTCATATTTAGTATCAGACTATAGTATATTGCTAACATTAAAATAGAAGAGTAATTGTTATTTCTAGATATTTTGAAGAGTAATAAGCTTGTTTGCTGCATTTGCAGTCGTAATACCCTTCAATCCGCCTCCGTGTCGTGGCGTGCGAGCGTGGCCGTTCATGGCCCCATCCTCCATAACCATCCATAAGGAAGCATGAGACCCTGCAGTGCGGCAATTTTTTGTATAATTGCAAAACCGTTTCTCAATAAAAAATTCTGATACGTAATTTTACATCACAACAAGATGCTTTTCATCAATTTGGGCTATTACATATGTTTCTACAAATTTCCATTAGTTGCATAATTTATACGGAAATTAAACTCTCTTGAACGTGTTTTCAAATACTGAAGACGCATTTGTGAATTGTATAGATATTCACATCTTACGCATCGCAAAATGGTGGACCTAAAAAATGACCGTACTCTTGTCGTTTTGGAAAGGGAGTAATTTCTGGAACATCAATCATTCCAGTCGTTTACCTCGAAATTTTGACGTCACTCCTTTTATTGCCTCATTCCATTTTTTTATGTAATTTTAATAACACAATACTAGGGGATATTTCTTTTACATTATAAGTATATTTTTACTACTACATACTAATTTATCTTTATTAATTGAAGTCCATAAATGCATATTCATCATTATTATGCAACCATCAACACGATAGGTTATACAAATCTTCAAATGATTTTAAATATTAATATTATATTACAAGTAATGTTATTAATATTATTTGTAGTAACCCGAGATACCACTGTGTACCTACATAAGAGAAATTTACTATGCACTTTTTCACAATGATTCCTCTGTATTACAACAAATTCATCTAGAAACGCAACGTTAACACCATACTCATCAGTACCACAATCGGTCATATTGACAAAATAGGTATAACATTAAATCGGTGCCGTGAGCTAAAGCAACATGGACTTATGAGTGGATGCTGTCCAACGGATATGGTGGCATCGTTTAGTGCTAGAGCTATGTTTAGTTCGCTCGTGACCGCAAACTGCGCCCGCTGTACCCCCAGGACTCCATACAATTATGTTACGGTGTCAGAGATTAGTGGGAAGACTCGATGTGGATCTTTATTGCTGCTATTTGTTTTATGCCTATCTTGTTTTCTTTAACAAAATATTGTAATTCATCAAACACAAATATGTTGAACGTTTGAAGGATTGAAGTTCATTATATCAATCTT